TCCACCCATGTTTAGTGTATTAAAAACATTTTATGTACGAATACACACCGACACGGAGCGAAAGAATTGTGTAAAAAGGAAGAGGAGAGATAATGTGTGGTTTTCGCTTTTCCTCCACGATATTATGTCGCGGTTTATGATTACAGAGCCCCGTGAACTGTGGGCCCGGTAGCGTGATCCTTGTTACGACCTCGTAAAGAAACCTTTTAACGTGTCCACCATCCAGCTTTCACTCTGACTTCGCTTCGATCGACGCTTCGCGGAGACGCGGGTGATGTTTTCAAGAATTTTAATTAATACCGTATAACTATACAGAATGGTGAAAAAGATGCCCAATTGTAAGGACTTATCAAAAGGAGGAAAAAGTATCCAATCGATGTAGGTCCTACGATCAATCCTCTCGACGATTTTTACTTCGTTTGCGTCTATAAGGACTTCTTTGTTGAAACTAGCAATAATTTTGCGTTGACGAGCTTGAACTAACCTATTTCTGAATCAATCTCTTTGTTCACGTTCAAGGAAGAAATTCGCTCGTGACATCGAATGTTCGTAAGTGACAAAAATCGATTTTACGTCGAAAAGATTGATTGCGGCACCTACATTGATCGGGCACTTTTTTGCTCCTTTTGGTGAGTACTACAAGCCCTTAAAATATCGGACCCTTTTTTTTAACACCCTACATGTATAACAGTACTTTGCTTTACTTGCGCCTTACACTTTTACCAAATATCAGTTAAAGCTCCTAGAAGATTTATCGAAAAGCTGTCCATTTACAGAGTCAAATACATATTATAATATTTGGTATTCATACATTGCAATATTTACACAATATTTAGCCTCTATTCAGCTTTCATTTTTCTTTTTATTACGTTGCGTGAATATTCGTAGCGTAGTTACAATATTTAGTAAAATTTGTTTCATTAATCGTGCTCGTAAACATATAAAATTTCATAAATATGAACAATTCATCTATCAGATACGGTTCTACGTAATCTCTATCGATTCCTCGTCTGTTTCACATTATTGTAAATCGTAGACGTCAAATTTACCAGAACGATATCTGCAACGTGAGTGACATTCAACTGCAAGGATATTCATCCATCGTGGTCACCTTGCGAAAAATAGGATTCAGCGCGAGGAAGAGTAAACCAGAGATTGGTTCAGCAATGACGTATCGAATTTTGAGCCAAGAAAACTTCCGCTGACACTTTTGTGCGTCGACTTCACGGCGCTCGACTATTCGACCATACAGCAAAAGATCATGATCCTTTGGTTGGCAGCCCTTTTGTCGATGACAAAGGAGTTGACAAAACATGACAATCATAACAGCCATAAGTCTCATAACTGACGTGGGTGGAGTTGTCCTGGCCGACACTACCGGCCGACAAAGCTTTGTACGCGAACCTCCTAGCTAGACAAATATTATTTTGACAAGTCCCGTTGAAGAGAAAGACTCATCCCTCTCGGTTTATCATGGTATTACGGAAAAATTATGCGTAGGTTGCACAGACAGCTCGAATTTATCGAGCGTCGCAGTGGAAACGGAAGCTGAAAGGGCGACGACGATCAGGAATTTTCGTGCGAGAAATTGAGTGAAGGGTGGACAGTATATGAATTGTTTGTGGAACAGATGAGATATATTTTAACGAACCAATATGTCTTAGTTTGGCCTAAGTGCTTTTGGAACGTCAATTATTATATGGATTATTATATAGAAAGCCAACATCGTTGAGGATACTGAGGAATCTTTATGCGAAGAACTGAATGGAAATTGGATTTAGCGTGGATCGTTTGTAGAGCAGACGAGATATATTTTGACGAACCAATATAGTTTAGTTTGGACTACTTGCTTTTTGTTGTAGACTCTTACAAAGTTGATAGCGCTGAGCATACAGAGGAATTTTTATATGAGAAATTGGATGGAAATTGAATTGAGTGTGGATTAGTTTTAGAGCAGATGAGATATATTTTATATCTATATAATTATATATATATATATATATATATATATATTGAGGGTAAATGATGTGTGGATTATTTGAAAAGTAAATGAAATGTATTTTGATGAATCGATAAATGTATTGTAGTTCAGATTAATTGATCGTGGAGCATCCAACATCAATTAGATTTTTATAGAAACAGTGAACAACAGCGTTGAGGATATTGAGAAATTGTGTGAAAAACAAGAATCGATTAAAACATGATTTCGGATATTATCAACTCTTACCATAAAAATATCCACAAGTCAGTAATCTTGATAGACAAAAGAATTTCTCGCAAGAGAAATAATTTCCAAGGGTGCAGAGAAAATTCCCAAGTATGTTCATCCTAAGCTTCGAACGTTTAATCTCACGCTTGGTTCCCCGCGATCAACGTGAATCACGTGGAAATAAAGACGATGTTTCTGCAACCCCAGGAAACATCGGCGATTGATTGCACGGGGCTGTAGCCATTACAATTGCAGCATGAACGTCGAGGGTCCTAGGTACACCGAAAGATCATTCGGAAAGATCTACGATCCACGGTCTATTTTCCGAGGCTATTAGTCTGCCGAGTTAATTCGTTGGAGGAAAAGCTATTCGCGAGTAAATAGATAGGACGCGCTGAATCGTGCTATAACGCGCCAATTGCAATGAAAATAGGAATTAGTGGTAGAGGTTTAATTAAATTTTATAGCTTGAGGATGTTGAATGATTGAGGACATATATATCATCATGGTACATCATGACAAACGAAACAAAATTTTATTCTTGCATTCCACCTTCTGAATTTTTAGTTTTATTGAGAAAGCTTGTAAAACGTTGTATTATGTGATATAGTAGAGACGTTGATAGAAAGATATGTTTACCTATAGACGATTAATAGGTTGAATTATAAATCCTTATTCGGTCCATAAATAAAATTTGTCGTTTTAAAAATTTTTTTAGAAACAGTCAGACAACCAACGAATGAAATAAAATAGTATAAAATTGTACAAGAATTTACATCCCCTTCTTTATTAATTTATTTCATCGATTTCCTAATTTATGGTACCTTATGTAAACAACGTTATTTTCTAGACACTCGCTGCAAGAATTCTATAATTATAATTAAGACTAACTTATCCAAAAATAAACGCAAAAATCAAAACCATCAATCCAAAGACAACCAAACGAATGACAAAAAAAGAACTAAAAACCAATTCCACTTAATCACAAGCAACACCTTGATTCCAGCCTCTCTGCGCATCCACCTGGACAGGTGTGACAATGTCGCGATCGTACGTGTCATCACAAAGAAACGGACGTCCACTAGGAATCGCCGAATCAAATTCCTCTCTCTTTCTCTCCCTTTCTCCAAACCTCCACTCCTTGCCCTTCACGCCCTCGATCTATTGAAAAATGTCCGGAATCATTACTTTTCTCACCCTCGTGACGTCCTCCCCCTTTGAGGTTCCCCAAACACTTGGAAGAACGAAAACCACGCCACGATCCGGCAATTATCGTAGACCAAGCGCGAGTGTGTGACTATGATAAATCTATGATAGAGCTACTCGGGATTTATTGCGCGGCTGGCGCGAATTCGATTCCGGTTGGACCACAGCTCGCGCCGATTGCAAGGGTGCGATCGGCCACAGTGTGATCGTCGCGGGGATATCGACCAATCCAGATCGTAGCATGGTAATAAAAATATCGGGGAGCACCGTATGACATGGCTGCCATCGAATCTTTACGAACCGCGTGTGTCAAGGGACCATTTTTCTCTTGTGGTTGCTTTTCGTCCGTGACGAAACGCGAGTCTTGCTTTAGATGTGGAATGCATTAGGTGGAAAGGAATGGAAGTGTCAGAAGATACGCGTGTCGCGTGAGTAGGTTGGGTAGATTATTGCATATTAGTAAAGTGCGAATTTTTATGCAATTCCATACTAAATTAGAGAAATGCAACCTACATACAAATTTATTTCTCCCATTAAATGTTATAGCAAATACTTCAATACTAAATACGAAGACAGTATCGAATCTGCGTATCTTTGCATATTAAATAATATTGGAGATTGTATTACGTTTGGTATTGCGGTACGTATTGCGTTTGGTAATGAGCTGATGTGTACACGAATTCATATCTTTGTGATCAAAATTAAGGAAATAGAATCTAAGCTAACTTTCTATTCTGACATCTGCTCGTATTATTTTACTTAGCAATTTCGATTAATCAACAGTTCATTTTATTTTTTTTTTTATTTATTATTGTTTTGTCCGTGCCTTTTAGCTTTGGACGAACTTTCGGTTTTATATCTCTTACATCTAATTCTCTTCTTATATGTCAACCTCCCCTCTTTTCCACTCTTCTATTGCACTACCTTGCTTATTCTACCTCTAAAAACTAAACATTAGGAACTATAAATTATCAACTAATGACCAAAAAACTATTGCAACTTTGGTCTTTAGCCTCCTTGCTGTGCCTCCTTCTTGTCGTTTGCCCTTCTCTTCTCTATTATTACTTTCTGTTCTGCTGAACCTTCTCCAGTCTCGTTTAGCGTTTTTCATATGTCCTTTAGTCCTCCCGTTATTTCACATCCTTCTACATACATGCTTTAGGTCTTCTTCTTTCCTTCTGCATAGTCTGCATCTTGTTTCCCCTCTTCTTTCCAGTATTCCCTTACTTTGGTCTCGTTTCCGTATCTGAATCTTGCCAGTATTCTTCTGTCTTTCCATTTCATCTTCCCTTCTAAGTACTTTGGTAATTTCTTTTTGACTATGTTTCTGTAGTGTATATTATACTTGGATTCCCTTATCATTTTCCCCCTCTCTTCTGTTTCTCTCTTTCTTCTGTCTTCTATAATTTGGTCTGCTGTCATCCTTTCTTGCTCCTCTCCTGTTTCTATCTGCGTCCCTCCTTTTGCCACCTCTTCTAGTCCCTTCTTTCTCTTTTTTGCTCTTTTCTCTTCCTGACCATTCCCCCATTCTCTCTCTCTTTCCTTTATGCATTCCTTTACTAATTCCTTTTTTGATTCTAGGGCTTCATCTTCGTACCTTGCTACTCTTTTTTAATACTTTTTCTTTTATTTCTATTAATTTGCATTCCTCTACCAATATATAATTTGGTGTTGTCATATCTAAGCCTAATATCCATTTCACATATCCCCTTTGAACTCTGTCCGGTCTTTCTTCCATGTTCCAGCCCCATACCTCTGCTTCAAACAGCGCCACGCTCTCTATCAGTGCTCCAAACATCTTCATTCTCCTTTTGTAGTCCTGTTTGAATATTCTTTCTCCCACGCTCCATGTTTTCTTCATTGCAATTGTTACTCTCTTTTTCCTATCTTGTATGTGCTTCTCATCACTTCCGCTTTTCTGCAGTATATACCCTAGGTATCTTATCTCGTCCACCTCTTCTAATTCTTGCTCTCCCCATTTCCATTTTCTTTGCGTCCTTTTGTTCCTTCTTTTTTCAAAGACTACTATTTTGGTCTTTTCCGTGCTCAACTCCAAATCGGTTTCCTTCAAAAAATTTTTGAGTCTCTTCAACATCTCCTTTAACTCCTCTTTTCTATCCGCCACCAGCACAATATCGTCTGCACGTGTCAATGACAGTTTATTTTAATTAATTAACGCATTATCGAATCTATTATTGTTGAAACGAGGAAAACCACATCCTTATTTTCTAAATATTCCTCACCCATCCCTCCTAATACCCACCTTCATTCAAAAATTTATCTTCAAGAAGCATCATTCACGTGTCAAAAGATAATCGTGTCGTTGCAAAGAAAGGGAACAGACAACCGAGATTCTGGTGAGCATATATTACCGATGCTTTTTTCCAGAAGAGAGTTCACCCTCGTGTACCAAGGTGTGGCCTCGAAGACCCCAATGATCATCGTCATCTTGTCTTCGGGGCGCGCCATCAACGCGTGCTAAGCACGAGCTCTCGCCCCGTTTTTTTCTTTTTTCTGCTGCTTCTCATCGACCACAGCTCATTCTTCTTCCACGAGGGATCCGAGAACAACAGGCCCGCCCCTTGTTTTATCTAAATTCCCTCCCCTGTTCCACGCGTGGCTCGTCGGCCTTTTCGGTCTATTTGGCAACATCTTTAAAAGAGATAGGATAATTCAGGTACAGATGGACTGCCGAAGAAAAGGGCCAAATAAGTATTTCTCGAACGTACATATTCTAAATTTATTTTCTATCTTAAATTATCAATCGTGGCAGATAGATACCAATCATTCCTGAAGAAATTTTATTAAGAAGATTTGTTAACCTATCACTTTACGTCAATTAACGCTTATTTTAATCTATGAAACATTTAACGTGCCCTTGTTTTTATTACAGTCATACGAATTAACCGTGAACGACAATATTATAATTTAATTTCTATTTCAATTATTCCATATTTTCAATTATCAAATGGTTAGTGTGTCGGTGCCTTTTTCATAGTAATTTCAATCGAACTATACTCGATAAAAGAGTATACTATAGTAATAGAAAATAAAAGAATAAACATTCATGGACCTTAACTTTTTTCAAAACTTTCAATTTTTATGTCCATATCCGACAGTATCTAGGCAACTGTTTCATTTTCAGGGAGTGAGTCAAGACAAAGAGAGAAGAAGAAACCCAAGAGAGATGTGATCATCGGATAAACGTTGCTCAAATTATATTCCTCTAAAATTGATCGAAAATTCAAGAATGCAAGTCCTTGATCTAGGTAACTACGTTCCTGATAAATATCTCACGAATCGGATAAGAGTTTGTGCTAGAAGCAAATGATCAGACCACGAAGAATGGTCCATTAAGGTAACCCTAGCCCTCTCAAGTGGTTGCACGGCTGCCGATCGTTCATCGGACGTCTTCTGGTAATTGGCGAACTTCAGACGAATAATTTCCATTCACCGGTACCTGCCAGTAATTATATGATATATCGGATTCGGCTAATAGGGAACACTCGAGGGTCCGAGGACGGTGTAATCGATGACATCGAGTTAATCGATTCGCGATATGCATCCTCGAAACCTGTTGTGTCTCTTCTTATTACCATTTCTTCTACCTCTTCTTCTTCGTCTTCCTTCTTCTTTAGTCGCCCGATATCGTGAATTCGATCTAATTATTATTATGCATAGATTTAGGAAAAAAGAAAAGGGAAAAAATCCTAGAATATCTGAAAAATTAACAAACAAAAAGAAATCTCTATTTTGTATTATATTAAAAGTTAGTGTGCGAATAATATTGAACTTTCAGTTAAGAAGAGAACACACGAATAAGGAATAAAGGAGCGTTGTTCTCTCGTTACTCTATATGTACACGCGTGGCCGCGCTTTTCTAAACGAGTAACTTAATCCGATTTCTCAACCGAGACAATAAACCACCATACTTTGTGTATGTCCCTATATATCCATTATAAGTACATCCATATACGTATAGGAAAAAGGGAGAGACGTTAACCAAGGGCAGATGCTTGAACTGTGTTAAAAAAGAGAGCGCGTGCCAGTGTTGGACGACTAAAAATACTCGAACGCCCCCATCAACCACGCCCGCTATAAAGTCTCTCCTCGTGTACCTTAAAATCCATGAAAGCGCCCTAACAGCCCCCTACTCTTAATCTTTATCCTATCGGTGTTTCTCGTAACGAGTGAGAGTCATTAATTCCGATAATTAGCGGCCTTGTCCGTCCGCGACCGCTGTTGATCACCGACTGTTAAAAAGAGGAAAAGAAACTGCTTGGTTCGTGGACCTTTTTACGTGATTAGTGACCGAATAAAACTTATACGCTTCTGCGAATATGTTTTCATTCTGTAGAAAACTTTTGCTTCGAGTCTTGCATATTATCGGTAATTACTTAGAGCTGTGGATAATTATTGGAGCAAGTAACGTTATTAAGAAATCGGAAGAAAGTTTTAGAGGAAGAGAAATTACGACTAACTATATGAAAATGGAGAGAAAGTTTCAGCGGAGCAGAAGTTTGGTGGAATTATTCGAATATTGTTCAGAGATAGGAAGAAATTTAATAGATAACAATTAGAGGAAAATTTTAAAGGAGCAAGATATTTTAATAGTTTTATGAACAATCAAAGTTATCAACCAACCATAAAGAAATTTGAATGTGCAAGAGCTTTTGGATAATTATTCCAATAACCAACATTCTTCAAAAATTGGAAAAACATTCGCGTGGAGAAAGATTTGTGAGTAATTGTTCGAATCATTAATATTATTCAAATATTGGAGTAAGACTGCAATAAAGAAAGATTCTGGAGTAATTATTCAAACGATCGATCTCTAAACGACTCTCGATTTGACCACTTTATCCAACTTTATTGCAGTGCGTTTGACTCCTATATTCTTCGTGTAAAATGAAATATTACTATCTACTATAAAAAGTCAAAATTTTAGCAAAAAGTAATATAAATTACATTTATATGGTATGTTTCCTTTATACTTCCAGTGAAACTCTCATGTATTTTATAACAAAAAGTTTGACCATTTGATTATTCTCTTTTGTATATCGGTTATGCTCCGTATAATGTATTGCTTCTTACAAATTGGGTTGATTATTTTCCCCAATGCATCCCCATTTCTGTACTTTACCGCGTATATCGCTTATTCCCACGAATAAAGTAAATCGTGTGCTTTACTTTATTATTTTTTGACAATTTTTAAGTTTTTAATAACAATACCTTTTTTCAACGATGAATCGTTAATTTTTTATCGAATGAAAATATAATCCTCCCTCGTTTTGCTCTATTTTTTCGTAAAATTTATAATAGGAGCGTTTCCTCTACCTTCTTATACTTGTCATCGTTTGATTCTAATTACGCACCAGGTAACGCACTTCTAAAAATAAATTTCGCAGTCTGCTGTTTAAACACTAACAGAAAACAGTAATTATTTAAAAATTCTCAATTGAGAGAATAATCGCGATACCTCGTAATACCAAATAATCCCAATAACTAAGTATCACTACTAACTAAGTTTCAGTTTCCTCTGTCAGAATCCCTTTGGATTCTCGTAACCCAGCAGTCGTGTCCCATAAAAAGCATTCTCGATCGAGGAAAAGCCGAAAGAACGAGACACGAGGAGACAAGCGCGTGCCAATGACACATTGTCTCCCTATTTTCCCCGTCCTCCACGTGCTACGTATCTCGTGGACGTCGGTTTACATATTTTTAACCACTTTTTTCAAATCCGGCACTCGTGTTCCCTCTAGCCAGCTTTTCGTTGCGGTTTCACTCTGTGTCTCTTTTACTCCACGTCGGCAACCTTGTCCTTCTCAGTGCGCAACGCGTGCTACGCGCGCTGCACCCCAAAAACTGGATATTTCTGGTCGGAAAAAAGGGCGAAAAAAGCGCGGATTCGTTACACGCGGGAGGGTCGTTCCACGATGCGTGCAAACGTCGCTATGCACGGGGCCAAAAAATCTACGCGAGCAAGAAAGAAGTTGAATACAGAGGGTGAAAGGATAAAAGGAGAGAGAGAGAGACAAAAACGTGAGTGAAGGATCGAAAGTTCGAAAAAGGGAAAACCACGCATCTGCGTATATACGTGGTCGGAGGAAACTAGCGAGGGGGATGGGAGCTGTTTCCAAAAAAAGGTGAAAATTTAACGGGGGCCGGAGCACAGGAAGAGGAACGTAGGGAGAAGTGGCGGGGCCTTTTATTTTACGTTGGGCGCGCGCGGAACAATGAAGAGTATCTTGAATCCTTTCATCGATTGTGGAATCATCGATGGTCATGTATGAAATTGCTATTGGGGTGTATCTTATTTGTCAATAATGTTATCTTTATTCTTTACCCAGGACTTGCTTGTAGAACTCAACTGATGCTAGTGAAACTTCACAAGTTCTAAATTATAAGTATCAATAAACTCCTTCGTACGGCAATAATAAATTCGCTGGTAAAACAAACGATATTTAACAAGTAAATTTTGCAAATTCCAGATTATTTCTCCTAATGATTTCCGATTTATCAGACTAAAATGAAATTCTGTTACTATTATGCTGTACGGTACACGATACGCGTTATCTTTCAGTTTAAACAAGACCTAAGCAGAAAATAATATCTAGGAAATGCTAATTCTATAAATTTTTGAAAATCGCAATACGGTCTCGAGTAAATGGCAACCTTTGTCCATGTTTGAATGGAACGACGGGGATGAAGAGTATTTCTAAAAGAACTGAAAATTTAACAGGCACCAGTGCACAGCAAGAGCAAAGGGAGAGCGTTCTTTTATTTTATACTGGACGCATGCGGGAACAACGAGGGAATATCTCGAACTCTTTCATCGATTGTGGAACTATCGGTGACCGCGTATAAAAACCGCTATCCGTATATATTCTTTCACGCTGGCAATCGAATCCTGCCACCATGAGACGTTGCCTCTTTTTGTCGTGGACCGACCTTCATTTAGACACTGGGTTAGTAAGGGAATTCTGAAACGATTTTTTGGACCTATTTTTCGCTGTCAAGGTTGAAAAAATTCTGTAGACTTTTTCTTCGAATTAATTATCCTTTGATGTAATTATCTTAATTGTTTCAGCTAACGGATTTAGCAAGAAGTAACAGAGAGAGAGACAACTTG